TAGTGGCTTGATATAGTCTAATTTGACCTGCCACAGTTTCATAAAGGAGCCTATTTAGACATTTTATTGCTGATTTTAGTAACTCGACCACTTTTGTAAGCACGCACTTAACTCCATGCTGGTAGCGTTGCCGCTCACATAAATGCTGCAAAGAGAGAGAGAGCCGCTTACTTTACAAAACAACGGGAGCTACGTCAGAAACCGCGTCGCTATTTATTAGCTACATATTCATCACAAAACCTGTAGAATAAATAAAAATATTTGCAGCACAACACCTCACATACAGTATCATTAATTATTGTTTGTAATTTACCCCATATTTAACTGAAATTCACTCAAACACCGTGTCAAGTGTCGCTCCCGCCGAGCAGAGCTTTATAAAAGCAGCAACAACAGGTTTGTAGCCGCCGCAGGTTAGACAAAGAGAAACGTTACGGACATTTGCGAAACACAAAAGGCTTCAAGGTTACATTTCTTCCTTTCGTAGATGCAGCAGGTGCTGCGTCAATGTAAATAGAAAAAGGCACAGATGAGAAAATCTAATTAGTAAAATTGCCTCCTTTGTGTTGGTGAAACGGACAAAAACGAAAAAAGCACCTTCCTATTAACCTATTTCCTTGTGCACTGTGGCCATGGCAGCAACGTCACAAGCTGTGTGCCTGCTGTCCTTTTGTCCTGAGCAAAAAAAAAAAAAAAATCCAGGCCATCCTTTTTACGCAGTAACTACTCCAGCCCGGGGTTGGAGGGAAAAGAAAAGAGAAAAAAAAAAAAAGAGTGTTTATTATGACTTTAAATATCCCATCAAGGTCTTATGATGGATTGACATTGGCAATGGGGGAGAGGAGCTGTCTGTTTACTGCGACGCCAGATACAAGGCAGGGGAAGAGGCAACACACAGCAGTGTTCCATCTTACATGAATGCAGGATGGTGGCTGTTGCCTTGGGCGTGCTATTGAGTGACGCGGAGGACACATTATGCAGCATCTGCACCATTATTCTTTTCTTCCACAAACAGTTCAACAGTTGAATAAGGACAATCTTCTTTAAGTGGCAATGGAAAAACACTGATGAACTGTGCCAAAAGAAGAAGAAGAAGAAAAGAAGTTTTTTTTTGCCAAAATGAGTGGGAAAGTAGCAAACTACTTAAGATTTAAAGCGAGAGAATAATCAAACATTTTTATTTAGTTAACGAATCAATCAACATATGTGTTCTCGCAGAAAAAAAACAGCTGATTTAGCCGGAGAAATATTCATCTGTGAATGAGGGAGGGCTTAATTATGAATGAAAGGAAGGCACTTCACATGAACCAGATCTTTGTGGTGATGCACTATGTATGAACCCAGGACCGTGGCTCAGGTAATGGGCCTCCAGTTTTTTTTTTCTCTTCCTCCTGGGATGGAGTGGCAGGAGAGAGTGGGGGAAAGAAAAAAAAGAAAGAGCTATGACAGGGCTAACCATGCATTCTAATTCCTGTTTTTCTGTGCATTAACAGCAAGCGAGGTCTCCCCGACCCCCGGCGACCCGGCAGCAGCTGCCCCCGACCATCTACATCTCAACGAGCGCAGCTTTTAACACCTGGTTTCAGAAATATCCCCCCTCAAAAAGCCTCCCACGTAACTTTCTCCGTGCTTTCCAAATAGCGCGCCTCATCCCCGCCACCACTCTTTATATCTGAATGTCACAGGCAATTCTCAGCTCCAGGCAAACGGAAAAGAGGGATGGAAGGAGGGGGAAGAAGTGGCCCAGATAAAAGCCCTATAGAGCTGCAGATACCAAAACAGCTCCAGATAGCCTTCCTCCCCCCCCCCCTCTCTCTCCTCTTACCCTGCAGGTAATGATCTAGGATAACTTTAACCTTCAACTATCCTGACCTTCCACAGAGGGAGAAAAGGGAAGAGGCGACAACCCCGGACTGACCCGGCAGCGGCGGCGGCGGCGGAGGCGGGAGCGTTTCCACGTCTTTCCGAAGGTTGCGCCACATCTCGAAACACATAACCGACTCTGTGATCAATTAGCCTAATAGCCGCCTTGCTGAGGTGCTCCAGGTGAGAACTGGCAGCCGATGTCACAAATTAATCACCTGAGTTAGCCTAATTAATTAAACCTCTGGTGGAGGCTGATAACGACTCTCCCAAGAGCGTCTAAATTGGTGGTCCGCATCTGCGACATTTGGCTTTGGAGATAAAGACTGCAGGTAAAAGCAGCGTATACGGGCCCACTGTTGGCTGTCACCCTTAAATAAAAAGACGATGACAAGAGGTCCGTGCGGATTAATTAATAGCGCTCTTCTTTTTTACTTTGGATTTATTTGTTTCACGCTGTCACAGATAGGTCCGTGAATAGGTTGGATTATGAGGCTTTTTAATGGGTTTAACCCTGTCGGCGCGGAAATTACAGACGTTCAGCTACAGTAGGAAGAAAAATCAGCATTTACATGGGATGGACGTTGCTGTTTAGCCTCACTATGCTATTGTATTTAAAGGTCCAGCTGTCATAAACTCACACAAGCTACAAACTTTGCTTCAGTGACTGGATATGTCATTAATTAAGTGAATAAAATAACTCAAATAGATGGAATATATTCTTCAAATTAGATTTCAAGCTTGCATTTCTATCCTTAACTCTGACAAAGCTCTCTGTTGATGGTGTTGTGGGTGTGGACACTGACAACAACAACAACCCCTCCTCCCACCACCACCCTTGGATTGACCATTTAATAGATTTGAAGCCCTGTTAGACCAATTATCCGGTGACAATCGCACACCTGGTTTCGGTTGAATACATCTGTCTGCCTCGCGTCTTTGTCCACTGTGACTTTGACGAAGACGCTCGTGTTGAAATGTGAGTCTGTTTGCACAAATTAAAGGCCGCGAGTTAATCAGCGTGCTCCAGTCTCCTTTTGTGCTGGGGAAAATTCGCTGTCCTTGAGCTGAGAAGCACCTGCTTCAGCTTCTTTCTTTTTTTTTCTTTTTGCTGGAAGATGCGCAGAGAGCCGTGATTCTACTTGTTATGTCTGTGCTGAAATTCTACATATCAGGGTGAGAGCGGCAGTCAAAACAGTTTATGCGCACCTGAGTCATCATATGGAGACCTCTCACATGGTCACATAGGGAAGAAATACTCATAGAATATAATGTCTAATTGCTAAATGTGTGTTTAGGCCACAACTGAAGGATTTCTTGTTGCAGTACTTCTGCGTTTGAAACTGTATCTGCTCCTTAAAAACATAGATTATACTAATCCTGGGCTGTTTGCTCGTGGCATTAGACAGAAACAGGTTGTGCTGAGCAGAAAGTGATTGCCATCCAAAACACGGAGAGCTTCTGAGATAAAAATCAGACAACACTGACACTTTCCAGAGGAGAGGAACTGTCTTTGGGTCATGGCTGAACAATGACACCGAGGCAGAATTCATACATTTAATAGATTCAATTAGACTGTCGTGACACACTCTCGAGGGGCTACACAGACAATCAACTCTGCAAATGAACCCTTACTGTTCTGTATATTTGTTCAACGTGGGCACGAATTCAGAAATTCTGCTTCCAACTCGTGCCAACGTTGCAATTTAACATGATTTCCCATTAAACATACTTATTCATGCATGCAACAGCAACACCTGAGAGGTGAAAAAAAAATCCACATTTGCTTCTATACGTGGGTTTTACAGGGTTGTGGCGTACAAATGAATTTGTACTTTAAATAACTCCTCATTTCTGTACTAACTGATATGTACTGATAATACAGAAAAGGATACGAGCTTATTAAAGACACCTACACACCATTATGTGACACAATAAAATACAAAAGGCACTTAATCAGAGTCGGTTCACTGGTTCGAGTGTGATGTTCGAAGCTTCATTAGTTTACTCCGGCCTGAAATATTTTCGGGGGAGAAATCAATAACGTCTACATATTCCCTCCGTACTATATAACAGGCTTTTCCTGGCTTAGCAGGACGAGATAAATTGCAGCGGGCTTGAGTTTTAACAGTATTTATGGTGGCTAACAGAGGCCCTCCTCTCTCAAGAGGGCACCATCTCCCTTGGAGGAGAAACGGTTTACCCACACAGCAGGGTTTCCATTAGGGACGCTCTCATGAGAGACAAGCACCACCTAGTGTTGGACCGACGTACTGCACGCTACATGCACAAATAATGAACATCAACAAAAAGGCCGTTTTAATCACTAAGGCTCGCTGTTTTAGTGGATTCACTTTTTTTTCAGCTTGTCAAGGCTTCAACTTTCCCTGACAAGTTCTGAATCTGCCTTCAGTCTAAAGATACATCACCACCGACAGCTCACCTCCACAGCCCTGTACATCTTAGCTGAATTCTCATAACTGTTGAGGCCACCTCTGCTAGCCTGTCTCATTTTCCTTACTTTGTCCAGGTGAAAGCTAGAGGGCTTTTTTTTTTTTTTAGATTACATGCAAGCCCCGCTTACCTCTGATTTGTTCAGGTAACAGCCTCATTAGTCTGCCCCCCTGCCCATTCCTGGCCCTCCCTTCACCCTTAGGCACCTGCCGTTTGCCACAGGTGGGCATGTAATTGCTCTGTGGTGTGGTCATGTTCTGAGTGGTTAGGAGCGAGCAGCCTTGCTAATGAGGCCGCTCACTGTGTTGCTTCTTCGCTGCTGAGAAATGTATCGGTGTGTGTGTGTGTGAGTAGGCAGGTGCGTGGCATCGCATACATCTGGTACGCTGTTGTAATACAACACAGCTGCTTGCTGGTGCGTCAGAGACTGGGAAAAAAACATGGCGAGTAAGATGGAGTCAAAGTTTTAAGTGTGTGAGAGTCAAGCAGAGAGGTAAAAGCGTATTGGGAGAGGATTTCGTCTGCACTTACTTGAGAGGAGTGCATCTCCTGCTTAGGCAGTGGACTCACCACTACTAGCGTTTAATTAGTCCTATAAGGTGTGGTCACTCTGCTGGACCTGTCAGTCGCTTTGTTCGGGTTGTGTAGCAGTAAGTGTGTAGTCTGAAAGGCAGTATACTCACTAGTGGTGCACTGTTTGTCAGTGGCCTCGCCCTGAGTGCTGCTCCTGGCCTGCTCCTCTCCTGCACTGTGGTGCTTTCTGGTGGCCACAGCGCCCGGAGCTGCAGTCAGCTGAGCCGGCGTCTGGAGGTCTGCGGTGCCCACAGAGGATCAGTTACTGACAATGAACAACACACTTTTTTTTTTCTTTTGCTTTGTGTGCATGTGCAATTCTGTGTGTGTAGATGCGAAAAACACTTCTAAAAAACACACTGCTGGCAAGAGTGTTGGTGTGTGTGTGGATGTGTGTGAATAAAACACCAAAAGAGTAGGAAGGTGCTGTGACAGACGCTGAAAAAAATGTGATCTGACAGGAAAAAGATGCTGAGTGAAGAGCAACTGCGTGTCACTCAGCCCAGGTATTAAAATAAATAGGGCTGTAGAGACCCGAAGAAAATCCTGGTCGACTGCAAACGCTCCTACTCCAGAACCAACGCGTTGGTCGCAGGGGGAAAAAAAAGAATCTACACTTTATCTGTAGATCAACTAAATGGGCCACAGAGCACTGAGTGCACTCTGGTGCACTGGTAGCTTTATTGGCCTAAATGAATTATAAATAAACATAAAAAGCTGGTATTTGCAGCATGTTAAATCATTTTAACCTTGTTATTTTATACTCAAATGACAACATCAGACTTGGAGCAGACTAGCTTGCATCTGTGCATATTCATGATTTCTGCAAGTAGGACTCTGCCGCTGCTGTTTTTAACGTGATCTTCCATGTTGAGTTTGCAAAGTTCACCGTCGACTTTTTTGGACAGATGACTTCTTTGACATGGGGTCAGCTAGTTTGGAGCCAACTTTGAGTAAATGTTCAGTTAAGGTTAAATAAGTTAGACCCAGCAGTGTCTATTAGGTCGGGCGCAGTCGAATCTGTAAAAACGCAGGGGTGTTGGCGAGCAGTCTGTTCCTCCTGCCATCAAATATAATGGATTCATTCTGAAAGGCTATTGATGTAGCGCTTTTCTCCTCATGACAGTAACACCGGCGATTGACCGACCAATGAGAACGATTGGATGAGAGCGTATCGACCAGCAGTCAACCTGAGGCTACAGCCATTAATATATAAACTGCAAAGATATCATTTGCAATGGTTTCATGTTTCGCTTTGAGTGTGACGGGACTGGAAAACAGAGCTGGACTACGGAGGCCCTGAAAATGAGACATTTCAACTCTGACATCAAGTGATATTGAAGTTTTTAGCTAAATTAATCACAACTCCTTTCATCTTGTCACGGAGGAGGAGAAAAAAAAAGAAAAAAAATCCCCCAAGATGCACTGTGAGTTTGGAACACTGCTGCAGCTGGACATCATGTAGGGCCGGTGCTAATTGATAGCTTTATAGCAGGACCTTGACTGCAAGATGAAATATTTACACCGCTGTATTCCTCCTCTCAGGCAGTTGACTTCTGCTCCTGCAATATTCATTTAGCATCCTGTGCTTTTAGTTGCTAAAAGAGGAAATCAAAAGCAACAGGGTGACTTCAGAAAACTGCCTTCGCTTTGATGAAGTTTGCTGCTTGACACGGACGAGTCAGGCCTCTGTGACCCGAGTAAAATGTCAATAGGTCCTTGTTCCGAAAGAGAATTCGGATCTTTTTGTGCTTTGGCTTTCAAACATTTTAGAAAAAATGTAACCAGAGCACAAATCAGGACGAGCCAGAACAAAAAAGGGGGGGAGAGCGCGATTGTCACATCACTTTTAATGATACAGAATATCCTGTGGTTTGTGCTCGGAACTAACCGTTTTGTTTACATAAGCCAGGCGAGACACTAATAGAGCTGTGGGTAGACTTCTTGCTGATTTTATACGTGATGTGATCCAGAAAGCTGGGGATTGTTTATGGTGAGCGTACACTGATTGCATCACGGTCACATGTGTGCAACATGTGCAAGCAGCGACTGTCCCTAGTCGTGAATGTGACACCGAGCTATCGCGTTCTGTGTCCGTCAGCACGCAGAAGGATTCATGTCGAGGATCATCGCCGGTGAAAAGAAGCGGGTCTGTGGATACGGCCAAGAGAAGAAACTGCAGTTTGTACAGTGGAAGAGCTCACCGTTTCCAAAACTGGACAAGGCACGTCTGGTCAGGAGTGCACCATGAGCATGCTGGTTGCTTTCCTTCTATATGTATGACGCTGTGTACTGGTGATCTGTCTCCCTATGAATGTTTTGAACACTTTTCTTGACCAATAATCAGCAGCCTTACAATCAAACATCAGTTACTTGATAAGGAAACGGAAATAATTCGGTGACATAGGTGCTTCGTATGCAGTGATGTGACATTAGCTGCTACAGTGGCTTGTGTCACATGACATGGGCTGCGATGCCAGCGGTGTACAACATGAACCACTGGGTCACGCTGACACCACTTCAGCTCGCCTACAAAATGAGAGGTTTGGCCAGCGTGCATTAAACATCACATAAGGCTTTTTCATGGTGGCCCTTTACTCACTAAACTCCCACAATGCTAATTAGAATTTCTACTTTCTCAAAATGAAGAAACAGACAGAATAAACTAAACTGCGTCGGTAATGATGGTTGACGTATTTACATAACGACATTTCCAGAAGGGTTTCAAGTGTTGCATGAGCACTGGGAGCAGTGTATCGCTGCACAGGGAGAGTATTTCGAAGAGGAGAGTGGTCCAGTTTAAATAAATAGACACAATCTCAGAACTTGGTGATCGTAATATATACTGTATGATTTACTTCCTATTTCCTGTGGTTTAATTAAAATTGTGCATGGACTTGTGTACATGTATGCTTGTACACAGACCTACTTTGTGCAGGCCAGTTCACAGACAGATCTAACCTGTACAGCCAAAAATACTAATAAATGTCACCGTTTAGTGACGACTACTCACATGGCTAAGTGAGAACAGTGTAACACAGCCACTGGGCTCGATATAAGGAAATGTGTTCATTAGCCTGTTCCCATGTGGGCAAGTAAAGCAACAGGATTATTTCCATATGGTTATACGGACCTTGATGCTTAATGTATGACAACTTACATGAAAGTCAATATTTAGTTTAAGCTTATCGTTTCACTGCACTGTACGTGTGCTTCTCTGTGCATAAGCCTCATTTAGATTTACCCTCCGTCCACTCAGCACTGCTTGGGGCTGTTTGGTGAGAGCACAAATACAGAGCGTCAGGCAGACAGCGAGCACAGAAGGTAGCGTCTGAAACACTGGAGCCTCGGGCGTCACTCCTTTCTGCGCCACATACTCTGCACTAAAAACTGAACGCTCCATCAAGCACTACTGGGCTGCCCTGCAGTTTTTTTTTTTCTTCCCCTCGTCTAAAAAGCAGGTTTCAAGTCTCTGAAAAATTTGATCAAAGACAAAGAGACACGGGGAAAGAGACCAGGCTGGGAACCACGCAGCCAACATGGACTGGCAGGGGCTCATTATTCAAATAAATGTATAATGCTAGATAAGCAAATTGCACTTTTAAGGGGTGTTATTAGTCTGCTGACCCAACAATATAATCACCATTCCTGGACAGAAACGAGCAGCGCAGACCAAATTTACTATTAGGTGTCCACTAAGTAGTTATTAAAGTTTATCATCTTGCAAAACTGTGCTTTTTTTTTTTTTTTTTTTTAATAAGCACCAAAGTGCTAATTTAGGATGTTTGGGCCTGCAGATTTTTCCATTTCGCTGCAGCGTGTTAAAAATAAGTTCTTACCCCTCTTTCTGCGCGCCTCCTTGATCTCTTCACACATGCGGTCGAACTCGGGGTCCAGCTCGGCAGCAAATATAGCATGTGCTGTGTCCTTTAAACTGCATGCTCGGTGCCTGATCACCTTGTCTGAGGACGGCAGGAAGAGAGAGAGAAAAATAGTGTTAGAACACACACTGGGTAGATGTATGGGCATGTATGTCCAAGGATACGTCCTGAATTCTACACAAATCTATTAGTATCTCTGCCGTGGCATTGTTAGATTTCTTTTGCTTGCACCATTAAGGTATGTTCTCTCCCCACCCCCATCATGCATGTAAGGCAAAGAGTCAATAGCAAGGCCAGCCTTATTTCACTGTGAGAAAGGGGATTGTAGTATTTTCTCACAGTTTCAACAAAGGGAGAGTGTCGGCTTTGGTGAGAGATGTTAACGGGCAGAACTCAGACACGCATGAAAGCGCTGAGATCACTGCCTCGAACATTTAAGACAAAAGGTGCGCGCATGTATGCACGCACAGGCGCATATACATAGGATTTGGAATATTTTTAAACTGCACACTCATTATCCGTCGCACTCCTTACACCTTTATTACTCCTGTGCCTCTTCCCCCCTCAGATGTAGCGCGGCATCATTAAATCCTGCTTCTTTTTTTTTTTCCCCCTGCTCCTGCATCCATGGAGGGAAAAATAAAGAGCGCGCTGCAGAGGCAGGCTGAAAGCATAGCCACTGTAAACAGGCCGTCTCTCATTACGCCAGGCGGTGGGAGAACAGTTCAGGCATAGAGTGGCAGAGGGGTCACAATCTGCCAGCTTCCGTTGTCTAATTGGAAGATGGCTGCTTAATTGCAGTGGAGGCAATTTGGGTGGTTGCGTGCGCTTTTTCCCACTGACAGCGCGTCTGAGTGTGTGTACACGCAAGTGCATTATAAGGGCGAAAATGCCTGTCAGTGGAGGAGGTGTCAAAGGCCAGGTGGGATGCCGAGAGCTCATCAGCACCCTCATGGGCTCGGCCTAACCTCCCCATCTAGAATAGACAAGAACGCGCTGACATACAACGCTGTTGCTTCATAGTAAAAGGGGTTGTTATCGCCATTTCCCTCAAGCAACTAAGAAGCATTTGTGACACAGAGCAACATAGTGGAGCGCAGAGATATCACCCTTTTTAACATAAAGTAATTATTGAGCAAGGTGGGGAGGTCCGAGACGAGGCAACCGACATGACTGTACGCGGAGGACTTTACGATAAAGTTAGCGTGAAGGACAAGCAGCAACAGACCACTGAGGGATAATGAGGTTGTTTCCCAGCACTCCGAAAGCTGGTGCAGAACTTCCCCAGCGGCATAATTGCGCAGGGTCTGGGCCATATTCCCTGGGCCAAGCGCTGTGTGAGCAGGCAAAGGGCCTCGTTAGTCTTCTTTATTAAACTGCCTAATTGCATTTTTCCCCTTTAGTGTATCATTTGTAGACCCTGCATTCCAACAAATGACCCGGGCCCTTCCCTTGCAAAGACAGAGATATGATTTATTCATTTGAGCAGAGAATTGCTTCCCATTAGTATCAGACAGCTCGATTCTTGCGAGCGAACTGAAACAGCCAAACTCAGAAGGCGAGAATTAAAACGGTCATATTAGTTAAACGCTCTAAAGCAGGCCGACTTACGCGGAACTTCGGTTAATATCAAAATATTTCGTCATGCTGGGGATTTGAATCTCGGAGTGAAAACCCCTTTCTTTCCGTCTAACAAGCTCGTCTTGACTTTTTCGCCTCGCGTTACTTGTTTGATGTAAATGCGACGTATGCATATCTCTTCCCCCCGTCGTGCAAACGTTAAAAGCAAAAGCATTTGCAAACAAGATGCTTCTCCGTTTGAGTGCAAACGTGTGTTCCAGCGCTCATCACGAAGCCGATATCACACGAATGGAAAGGTGGCGAGATGGGAAACGAGCATGGGGTATGACAAAAATAAATAAAAAAACAAATCGGTTGGAATTGCCAGAGATGCAATTAAATTTTCATGCATATGCAGGCCTCCGCAGCTACACAGCACAAATTACAATGCTATTTTCAGTGCAGGCGGTTTGCACTGCACTTCATTTGAATCTCCAAGTTGAATCTTTTGTAATTTTACTGCCTGGAAGCCCTCTTCTTAAGTCATTAAGTTTTAACTCTAATTACTTTTTATTTCTACAGTGGTGGTCTAATGGAACACAATAAAGAAGCACATGGTCAGATTTATTTGGATTGTGTAATACTGACTCATTATCAAGAACCATGTGACCCTGGAAGAAAAAAAATGGAGTATCGTTGGTGCTTCCTATAAATATGCAATGCAAGTTGTGAGAATAATAAGAAGACTTGAGTTGGGGGATTAAATAAATTCTACTTTTGGGAAGATTAACTTATTTGCTTTCCTACCCAGGGCTGTATGGGAAGTTTGATATAAATAAAAGATGTGCGCGTTAATTAACCCTCTGGACCCCCAAAATACAACCAGCAGGTTTGACGGACATGTTATCGCTAAAATAAAATACAAATTTAAAAAAAAAAAAAAAAAACAGGAAAGAAATTACACCCTTACACCAACTGGAAAAAACAGGAATAAATCAAATCTAAACTTTAAATGGGGTTTCAGTTAAAAAATAAATAGGAGATTTTGTATGAAAATAAAGGAAATCCTCAGTTTAACCAAGAACCATGATCGCTTCTACAATCATGTGGCGAAAATTCTGCAAAAATCCAGCTGAACCGCAGGCTGTGTTTGCAGAAAGGAGGCAAATATGGAGACATATTAAGAGCTTGAGAGGGAAACAAAACACTATAGAGGTGCCATCAAATTGGTAGAAGATACATTCTGCATGGTGAAATACCTTTTATCAGCTGACGTCCAGAGTAGTGTGAAAAAAGGCTAGCTCTTTGGCTAGTAAAAACATAGGTGGTCCTATCGAATGAAGAGTCACCATTTTTTTCCAGGTATATGTCGTTGTTTGTAAAATGAATAATCCGATAAATGTAATTTTTTTTTTTCCCCATTTTTTAAGATTAATGGCATTTCAGCTTATTTTATACTGAAGATGCATTTTCCATTCTCTCTACTTCTAGCCGTGGTTGTGCCGTTTCCATAGAGGTGCAGGACTTTATGTTGGAGTGAAAAATGTGACAGGAGCAAATAAAAATTGAAACTGCTTGAGGTTGAAAGGGTTAAAAAAACAGCACTCAATTGCATACGAATGCCTTTTATGTATTTCTTAGCACATACATTCACAGTATGACTTACATGCATGTGTGTGTGTGTGTTCATGGAAACGTGAAAGCATTCTGATCCTCACCTCCGGGATCCTTGTCAGGATTATATTCTAAAGCGTTACTGCAGATGAGGTCAATGTCCACCAGAAAGTCCTTGACTGTCAAGTACTTGTAGGTGTCAATCTTTGTCATGACAGTGGATAGGTCCATGGGCTGCCTAATCACCTCCAGGTAGTCTGACACCTGACACACACACAAACACAAGGCTCACTTTAACATCGATGAAAGCCGTGAGTGAGATATCAGGGGTGTCACCAATCCATTTCACTTTACCTCCTCAATGTCAACTGGCTTGCTGAAGATGTTGAAACGTTTGTCAGTGGCCAGGCGCTTGGTCACGTCCCTGAGAAAGAGCCTGAGCTCCCGTAATGTGTTTTCCTCCTGCTCAGCCAGGCGGCGCTGTTCCTCTGCTGATAGGACTCTGGGGCCCGGAGCGTCCGCTACCGGCAGTACCTCTTCACACCTCTCTGTGGGGGGAGAAAGCAGGAAAAGTGAACCCTACGCTATAAAGTTCTCACACAGCTTCTATCTATAGGCAAGCCTTAAAGTGTTTGTATTTAGAAAAAACATTCCTGTTGTTGGAAACTCAAGGATCTTGTGGTTTGCCAATAGCTACACAACAAAAGGCCTCAGCTCAGCCACAGGCAAAAGCAACACCACATCACAGCTTATGCTGATCAGTCATGTCTGTGCAGACTTTAAAAGAATTAAATCAAACATATGAAGTGTGTTTAGGTGATAGAAGACAGTTGCAGCCATTACAGTAGACAACACAATATGGACGCTGCCACTAAGACGCACACACATTTTCAGTAGAGCAGCACAGAAGATCTGCACAAACACTAGAGAAAAAAAATGCACCGAAGATGAGTGTCACCAATTCAGCATCCCACCGAAATGTGGTTAAAATCTCTCTCGAGTTGTGTGTTGATCATCAGCCAGAGAAATGTTTTCACCCAACGTTATGTCGTCCATTTTTTGTAATAATTAGTGTATTAGTTCTTGAAATGTGGCCAAAAAATGGGTTCAGTGCAGTCGCGGCGACTTCTAACCTTTGAATTCGGTTCATCGCAGCCCAAATCGATGTTGGAGACAGATTTAATGAAACTGTAATGAAGAGCCCTCCAGTCATTCCTGATGTATTGTGTTCACAGAAATAGACCGGAGCAGAGGTCAGAGCGACCCTGACCTTTAACCTGGGTGAGGTGGGGGATTGGACCAATCGATAACAGCAGCGTCCTCCTTGGCCTTCCTCACCTCTAACACTTCTAATCAACAGTCGGCGCTCTGACTTCATAAATTCTGGTCCGAGTAGACCGTTTCTACAAGAGCCATTCTGGACTTCAGTTGAATATTTTGTTCAAGAGAGAGATTTGCTTGTTTATTTCCGATTTTGTGAATAACTGTACACAGCATTTGTGTATAACGAGCACTTAGCAGCTTTTGTTTGCATCCGTTTTTCCCTTGTTGATTCCTGTCATTTGTTTAACCTTTGTTTTCATTATTAGGGATTTTTTTTGTTGTTGTTTGGGCCATTGCTCATCTCTGAAGTAGAATAAAAACTGTGTAACTGAACTCATATTATGTAGCTGTTGTGTCCAGGTTTCTCCTACACTAGACTGGGATGCACTGCTTTATACTGGTGGTAGTGGTGAGAGGACGGCTCACTGCACCTGAACCAAACAACATTCAGCACATCAGGGACTCTCTGCTTAAACTCAACAACCCTGCGAGTTCTGCACCACCAACAAATCTTGTTTCTTCCAACCTTGAAGAAACTGTTCATGACTGCAGCTAGAGCAGGGCGCCTCGACGCAAATCGAGGAAGCCGAGCAGGAGACGAGGACGGCACAAGCCGGTGTCTCGCATCCCTTTGGTTCCATCAACTTGGCATTAGCCAGAATGGAGGATGACGCCTCTGAGCGAATTTTTCAAACTGTGCAGAGACCTCGGTGGCTATCTCCAGACGCTCCTGATCTAATTTTGGGCGACTTCAATCACTGTTCACTGGAGAAAACCTTCAGGGGCTTTTATCAGCATGCGCCTTGTCCCACCAGGAAAGACAACATACTTGGCTGGTGTTACAGCTCTCTTAAAAACATCTATAAATCGATTTCACTTCCCTCCCGCTGGGCTCCATGGATCGCAATTGTGTGTATCTGGTTCCATCATAGCGCACGTGTCTTCAAACGGGGGGAACTGCAAAGGCTGTTTGGAAAGCAACAGCCTGGGAGGTGTTAACTGAAATCTGACAGCGATGAACTTGGATTCGGACGTGAAATAAAATAAAAAAATCTACCCCAACAGAAAACCACGGGAGAAAGTATGAAATAAGAAAAGACGGAGTTTTAAAACAGGGAAATCTTCCAGAGCTTATGTCTGAACAAAAGGAGATCAATTATGAAGAAAAGTAAGAACATTGTGGGTTCAGTCGGGGACAGTTTCAGGACAACGGTGATCATTTTTAGAGGAGTTGCATTAGACGTAAAGTTTGGCGCAAAAGCTCAGCTACAGATTTGATGCACAAGATTAAAATAATGAAGAAGCCACTTAAAAAAAAAAAAAAAAAATCAAATCCATTCATCTGGCCGCTGCTTTTAATCTTCACACTCCTGTGAATACTTTTAAAAATAATAAAAGTAGAACAAGCGCTGGCCCTGATAATGTTTGGGGGGGTTTAATGCTCACCCGCTGTGCTCTATATTTAGTTGTGTTTTTAATCTGTCAGTCTGTCAGTTAACGGTGGGAATAATTCACCACAGTGCCTTTTTTCCAAACCCGACTTTCTTAAGGACTTCATATGGCAGCGGATTGCTACCACAGCGAAAAACAGATTCGTACCATATTAGAAAATGATGCTTATTTTGTTCAGTAAAAAGCAACCGGGCTTGAAGCTCGTAAAGATTTTTCGCCTCTCATCCGAGACTCCAGAAGCCTCTTGGATAAAAGGAGAAACATCTTCATGAACCTAAAAGAGAAGTCCAGCTTCTTTTCGCTGAAGGATTACCTGGATGACTGAGAATCTACACAAGATACTTTCACGTTATAACAAAAAAAAAACTTTCTCGTACACTTTTGATCTTGTTAGAACATGAAACTCATGTTTGATTTAGGTGCGGAGGACAGATAGACGCCTCATTTACGCGACGTGATCGAGTTCTACTTCGTGCCCCAACTGAGACGAGATTCTGCCGTTACCCAGCATGATGGATGACGTTGTGATAATACATGTATCCGTGGAGCCTTCGGCGCCGCTCCAGCCGATCGATGAGAAATGACACCTCCTCCAGAGGGTCGCTCTTCCTTCTGTGCATGTTAAAACCCTTCATCGTGGACGCATGCTTATTACAGTATCACGTACCGTGCTCGATGGCAGCAGAGGGAAAGAACTGCTAAATGCCACTGAGCATCTTCTTGACCCAATCTGGAACAAAGGAGAGGTTTCAGGATGCTACGCTAGCTCTGAGCTTATTGTTAGTGGACTTCTTTGCTTTTCTAAAGTTAGTTTTTTTTTGCCTTTTTGCCTTTATTATATAGGAAGAGAGACAGGAAAGTGGGGGAGAAGAATGGGGGAAGTGCCATGAGCGGGATTCACACCCATGGCCGCTGCATCGGAGACTGTAGCCCCTGTACAAGGGTGGCCAGCTCAACCAGGTGAGCTATAGCGGTGGCCGTTAGTGGACTTTCTATTCAACGCCATAGAGCCACATCTGCTGGTCCAATGGACAGAAGCATAGTGGGCCAGATTTCCTTACATGCAGGGCGCTAAAAGTGACAGTAAATGGTCCATTTTCCAAGCGAACATCCACCAACTCTCCCCAAGGATGTATCCTCTTTCTTCTACTGTACACTAATAGCTGCTGCTGCATGTATGACAGCCCTCACGTCTACAAGCAGAAGACACAGAGCCCGTTAAATATTGAATAAAAAAACTTCCCACGGTCCTGTTGTTGACTATTTTATAAACTGGCGTCCTGAATTGTTTTTTTAGCGCTGAAGGACGTGCGCATTGATTTTCTTACTCTCCTCCTGACGTTACAGTGATTGATGGCCGGAATATAGAAACAGTGGAGTCCTACAAGTATTTGGGAACTATACTAGACAAACTGACATTTGAGAGTAATACTGACACGGCGCCCGAAAAAAGAAAAAAAAAAAACAGCAGCGTCTCTTTTGTCTCGTGAAGTTCCAGGATGACAGGACCCCGGTGACGATGTTTTATCGATCTTTTATTGAGTCTGAGCAAGACTTTCTACTTTATCTGCTGATATCAATCTCTCAAGGTCAAACATAAAAAAAAGAAAGCCGGTTAATATCTGCAGCGGAATCACTGGCACTGCACAGGCCTTTCTTTTTGATTTCATTTCTTTCATTGATTTAGCAACACCCACAGGCCCCGTCGTGCTTTGCAGCTTCGCCTCCTTTGTTTGTTAATTATATTACGGAGCAATAAATAACTTTACCAAATCAAACACAGCTGGTTTTATTTCGCTTCCCTTTACCTTGGCGGAGCTGGGACGTAACACTGGGGGAAATCCACCAGGATCCGCACAACAAACAGTTCTATAAGAAAGCCGAATCCGTCCCGTTTGATTGTTTCCATCCTTTACATCAACAGTCTCGGTTTCTGACATCTGGTACCCTCTTCAGACTTCCACTCGCTAAAACCAATAGATTCAAACTCTCTTTTATATCCTCCGCCGGCTCCTTCCTGAACTCCGGGAGGAAAAGGCAGCTATTTGCAGAATGCTTTAACTTCATAGTATGTTTTTTGTTTTCAGTGTTGCGTTTATGTGCGCCGCGTTTTATGTTTGTTAAACGTACGGCATCCTGCAAAACCAACTGCCTCATTTGGGACGAATACATTTATTGATTGATGCACTGATCGTGTTGGGGATAATAATAAACTACTAATAATACATTTTAATTTCAATCCTGTTTATTGGCTCCCAAACAAATTTTATTCACGCTGGTTTAAAATGAACAATCTACTGCAAACACTAGTTTATGCATTAGTCATGCTCTTTAAATGCTGCATGTCTCCTTGTGCATTTTTTGAATAAATCGTGAATCGAGCATTATTCTCGTAGGCGGCTTCAAAAGGCAAAGGTAATCTTGAAACATATTTTTTCTAAAAGGCAAAAATATGTCATTTATAAGAGCCAGAAATTGCACATACAGGATAAATAGTTGGATCTTCGACCTTGCGACCGTCCTTTAACTGATCGAGTTGGACATACCGTTCACACCAAAAATGCTTTGCTTCTACCATGAAGCTACAAATCGCTCAGCTGTGACCAACAGTCACCGCACAAAAATTCGGCGGATTTGTTTCTGCCAAACTTCAGGCTGTGTTTACACAGAGCAGATGGGAGACAAGTATGGAAACAAACTAATAACGTGAGTAATGAAAGACCTGCAGTGTATAGAGCCGCCAGTCTTCTTCCAGTGTTGGTGACATTTTACAGTTTTTGCAGAATGAATCAAGAAATTCAACTTTGGCGTTTTCCTCTTTTTTTATTTTTTTTAAATGATTTAGGTCATTCGATGGTTAGCACCGTTGTCTCGCAGCTAGAAGGTCGCCGGTTCGCGTTCTGGTGAGGACACCCGGGATCTTTCTGTGTGGAGTTTGCATGTTCTCCCCGTGCAGTGTGGGTTCTCTTCGGGTTCTCCGGCTTCCTCCCACACAGTCCAAAACCATGTTGCGGTTAAGTGGTGATTCTAAATTGTCTGTAGGTGTGAATGTGAGTGTGCTTGGTTGTCTGTCTCTAAGTGTAGCCCTGTGATAGACTGGCGACCTG